TGGAGGCCACGCCCAAAATCCTTGGGTTCTGCATGGCAAAGCCCACAGGATTTTTGGCATGGCAATCCCTCCACCCCAAAAGAGGCCACGTCAAAATCCCGTGGGTTCTGCAGAGCAAGACCCAATGATTTTTGACATGGCTTTCCCTTCACCCCAAACGAAGCCACGTCAACATCCCGTGGGTTCTGCAAAGCAAAACCCACAGATGCTTGACATGACTTTCCCTTCGCCCCAAAGGAGGCCACGTCAAAGTTCCGTGGGTTCTTCAGAGCAAAACCCAAGGATCTTTGGCATGGCTTTCCCTTCACTCCAAAGGAAGCCACGTCAAAATCCCCGCGGGTTCTTCACAGCAAAACCCACGGATGTTTGACATGGCTTCCCTTCGCCCAAAAAGAGGCCACGTCAACATTTCGTGGGTTCTGCAGAGCAGCCCCCCCAAGGAAATGTGGCATTGCTTTCCGTTTTCCCCAACGGAGGCCACATCAACATCCCGTGGGCTCTGTAGAGCAAAACCCAAAGATGTTTGACATGGCGTTCCCTCAGCCCAAAAGAGGCCACGTCAAAAATCCTTGGGTTGTGCATGGCAAAACCCAAAGATGCTTGAGATGGCTTTCCCTTCACCCCAAACGCGGCCACGTCAAAATTCAATGGGTTCTGCTCCAACGAAGTTTGACATGGCGTTCCCTCCAGCCCAAAGGAGTCTACGTCGAACTGCCGTGGGTTCTGCAAAGCAAGACCCACGGATTTTCGACATGGCTTTCCGTTCGCCCGAAAGAAGGCCACGTCAAAATTGCGTGGGTCTTGCATGGCAAAACCCAAGATGTTTGTCATGGCTGTCCCTTCACCCCAAAAGAGGCCACGTCAAAATCCCCTGGGTTCTGCAAAGCAAAACCAAAGGATGATTGACATGGCTTTCCCTTCACCCCAAAGGAGGCCACGTCAAAACCCGGTGGGTTCAGCAACGCAAAAACCAAGGATGTTTGACGTGGCCTTTCCTTCATCCCAAAGGAGGCCACGTCAAAATTCCGTGGGTTCTGCAGGGCAAAACCCCAGAAGATTTGACAGGGCGTTCCCTTCACCCAAAAGAGGCCACGTCAAAATTCCGTTGGTTCCGCAACCCCGATTCGCCAGCCCAAGTGGCCAGAAAGTGTGCTAAGAAGATCTCCGGCAACTGGTTAACAATATTCTAGTTCGCGCGTGCGGGGCGGCCCCTGGGGGTCCCTGGACGAAAAATACCCCGGGCGAAATCCGGGAGACGCCCGGGACACTCGGGACAGAGATGCTTTTCCTCCAGGCCGCGGCTTTTCACGTCCCCCAGAGCATGCCAAGAAAGCCCCACGAGGCCCCCAAGACGGTCCAAGAGGGCTCTGACTCCTCGAACGAGCGGTCCAAGACGCCCAAGATGGCCCCCAGACGGCCCAAGAAGCCGTCAAGACGCCCCAAGACGCCCCCAACAGACCCCCCAAAAGAGGGCCCTGAGGGGCCCAAATCGTTGAATGTCATGCGTGTTTTCAATATTGTTTACCTGCTGGCTTTTTTGGCTTACCGACGCTCCACGACGGCCCAAGAGGCCCCGAATACCGCTCCAAGACGGCCAAAGAGGCGCCCAAGAGAGCACCAAGACGGCCCAAGAGGGCCCCAAAACAGCCCAAGAGGCGCCCAAGACGGCCCCAAAGGGCCCCAAGAAGGTCCCAAGAGGGGCCCAAGGGGAGAACCAACAAATCAAAACTCCGCCTCTGGAGGGCCCCAGGAAGTCCCAAGAACGCCCCAAGAGGCCCCGAAGAGGTTCCAAGGAGGCCCCAAGAGGCCCCCGATAGGCCCCAAACATGCCCGAAGAGGCCCCAAGACGGCCCCCAAGAGGCCTCAAAACTGCCTCCCAGAAGCCCCCGAGAGGCGTGCCACCAAATCCCAACGAACACTCAGGAGGTCTCCGACCCACCACCCAGGCACGGTTGCGGGATAGGACGAAGGCCAGTGATTATACTCCTCTCCTTCCTCCTCCTCCTCCTCCGTCCTCCTCCCCCTCCTCCTCCTCCTCCCCCTCCCCCTCCTCCTCCTCCTCCTCGTACCGTTCTTCCTCGCCCTCTCCCTTCAACTCCCCAAACGCTCCAAACGAATCGCCATGAAACTGCTCCACGGGAGCTGCTTTACCCCCCAACATGCCGAATGCGCAGCCTCATAAAAGCAGCCGCCAACCCTGCAGCTCCGCGCCGCCAAGGACCACTCGGCCCGTCGACAGCGGCCCGCAATATGGGCCGGCGGAGTGAGAAGCGAGTCAATATTTGTGGCATGGCTCTCCCTTCACCCCAAAGGAGGCCACGTCACAAAAAATCGTGGGTTCTGCAAAAGCAAAACCCACGGATTTGTACATGGCGTTTCCTTTAGCCCAAACGAGGCCACGTCAAAATCCCGTGGGTTCTGCACAGCAAAACCCAAATATGACTGACATGGCGTTCCCTTCAGCCCGCAGAAGGCCGCGTCAAATGTCCGTGGGTTCTGCAAAGCAACACCAAAGGACGTTTGGCATGGCGTTCCCTTCGCCCCAAAAGAGACCATGTCAAAAATCTGCGGATTCTGCAGAGCAGAACTGAAGGAATCTTTACATGGCTTTCCCTTCACCCCAAAAGAGACCACGTCAAAATTCCGTGAGTTTTGCAGAGCACAACCCAAGGAATTTTAACATTACTTTCCGTTCTCCCCAAAGGAGGCCGCGTCAAACTTCCGTTGGTTCGGCAGAGCAAATCCCAAGGATTTGTGACTCCCTTCGCCCCAAAGGAGGCCACGTCAAAATCCTGTGGTTTCCGCACAGCAAAACCCAAGGAATTTTGGTATGGCGTTCCCTTCAGCCCAAAGGAGGCCACGTCAAAATCCCGTCGGTTCTGCAGAACAAAGCCCCCAGATGTTTGACATGGCGTTCCGTTCGCCCCACAGGAGGCCACGTCAGATTTCCGCGGGTTCCGCAAAGCAGAACCCAAAGATTTTTGACGTGGTTTTCCCTTCGCCCCAAAAGGAGGCCACGTCACAACCCCGTAGGTTCTGCAAGGAAAAAGCAAGAATGTGTGCCATGGCTGTCACCCCCAAAAAAGACCATACCAACATCCCGCGGGTTCTGCACAGCAGAACCCACAAATCTTTGGCATGGCTTTCCCTTTCGCCCCACAGGAGGCCACGTCAAATTCCCGTGGAATCTGCAAAACCAAACGAATTTGGACGTGGCGTTCCCTTCAGCCCAAAGGAGGCCACGTCGAACTCCCGCTGGTTTTGCAAAGCAAGCCCCAAGGTTCTTTTACATGGCTTCCCCTTCGCCCCAAAGGAGGCCAAGTCAAAAACCCGTGGGTTCTGCAAAGCAAAACCCAAGGATGTTTGACATGGCTTCCCCTTCACCCCAAAGGAGGCCACATCACAATTCCGTGGGTTCTGCAGAGAAAAACCAGGAGTTTTGACATTGCGTTCCCTGCACCCCAAAAGAGGCCACGTCAAAATTCCGTGGGCTCTGCAGAGCTAGCCCCAAGGAAATTCGACATGGCGTTCCGCTCTCCCCAACGGAGGCCACGTCAAAATTCCGCTGGTTCTGCAGAGCAACTCCCACAGATGTTTGACATGGCGCCCCCTTCGGCCCAAAGGGGGCCACGTATCCAGTGGGTTCTGCAAGGAAAACCCCGCTGATGTTTGACATGGCGTTCCCTTCAACCCAAAGGAGGCCATGTCAAAAACCCGTGGGTTCTGCAAAGCAAAAACCCCAGGATTTGGGACGTGGCGTTCCCTTCGCCCCAAAAGTGACCATGTCAACATGCCACGGGCTCTGCAGAGCAGAACCCAAGGTGGCGCGTCACATTCCCGCGGGCTCGGCAAACCCAAGGCATACCCATCAAAAACAAAACGAAAAACAACACGATGCAACGAATGGGCGCGCGGAAAACAAAACAGCATAAAACGCGCGGCAAGTGTCGCGAAACGAAAAACAGCGCAAAACAAAACGCTGGGCCTGCCCGACCGTCTACCATCGGTTTACGCAATCGTTTGAAAGCAAAGCAAAACGCGTTCAGAACGAAAAACAAATCAAACAACAAAACAACAATTTTTTCATGTAAATCAATGTTTTCGGCCAGCGCTGGTTCAATCATGGCCCCAGATGGCCCCAAAGGCCGACCCAGAGCCCTCTTGGGCACTTCTTGGGCGATATTGAAGCCCTGGGAGCTGGCACAAGAAGCCCACATCGCCACACGGCCAAAAGTTGTTCTTGAAACCCCGATTCTACCATTATCGCACAGTCTGTCTTGGGAGCGTCTAAGACGGCTCCAGGGGCCCACGAGATGGTCTCCCAGACAGCCGAACAGCCCCCAAGATGGCACTTTTCCTCGCAGTTGTCAACGGGTTCGTAGATGATAGTGAATGGAGCGGCGCCAGAGGCGGCGCCAGGGTGTTAAGACCGGCCCGGAATACTTGGCGGGGCCTGTGGAGGCCAGCTGCGACCGTTCGGCGGGACCTGTTGAGGCCACCCGGGCTACCTGGGGAGGCTGCCTGCAGCCATACCAGGTCAGGGCAGCCCCTTGATCCCGAACCGCTCAAAATCCGTCCCCAGACCCCTCCTTTGAGCAGGGAACGACAGTCCCGTCATTCCAATAGGCCTACCACGACATGTTCTTACAACCCACAAATGTTCTGAGAACAAAAACACTGTTCTTAGAACAGAAGCCCGACGCGTCAAAACAAGACAGCCCCAGCCAAAAATGTTCTAAGAATATAGGCACGCCAGAACGCTTCGCCACTGCTGGACTCCTGGGGCTCCATCCCGGCTCTCTCTTCGACGCGGATCCGGCTATGGCCCCGAGGAGGTTCCCAGGAGTCCCACGCAGGACGAAACGTGCCAGCGGGGGCCGCCATTGACTCGACAGACCCTTCCCCAACCTCCTCCTCCTCCTCCTCCTCCTCCTCCTCCTCCTCCTCCTCCTCCTGCTCCTCCTCCTCCTCCTCCCCGAACTCCGTACTGCAGGCCCGGCCTGGACAGCCGCGGCGTCACGCCGGACCCGAACGCCTCCGCGAGGCAGGCAGTGCCCGAGTCGCCGATGCGGTTCATCCCCAGCAGCAGCTCCCGCAGGTTCGGCACGGCCCCAGCGCGCAGCACTGCGGCGACGGCCCTGGCCTCGCGGTTCGCCCACGACCTTGCAGCTTGGGACGCGGAGGGACGTACGAGAGCTGCGCGCACTCATGGGACGCGCACGCGCGAGACGAACAGGTGGTACCGACGTTACAGCGTAGATCGCATATCTGTACGACCACCCTTCGGGTGATAATTATGGGGGTTCGGAGGGGAGGGAGAACCAACAAATCATTCCATCGATCCAACGTCGATCAAAATCTCAATCGCACAACAGATCTCACAATCGATCTCACAATCGATCCCACGATCGATTCGACCATCGAACTCACGATCGATCTCACAACCGATCTCACGATCGATCTCACAACAGATATCACTATTGATCTCCAAATCGATCTCACAATAGATATCACAAACGAACCCACCATAGATCCCACAATCTGGATCACTACCGATATCACAACAGTTCTCACTATCGATATCACGATCGATCTCACAATCGTTCTCAACAAATCGATCTCAGTATCGGTCGCACCATCGATCTCACGATCGATATCACAGCAAATATCACGATCGGTGTCACAATCGATCTCGCTACCAATATGACAAATCGAACTCACGATCGATCTTACTTCAGATCTCACGATCTATCTCACAACAGATCTAACAATCGATCTCACAATCGATATTACCATCGATCTCACAGTCGGTCTCACAATCGATATCACTATCGATATCACCACATATCCCACTATCGATGTCACAATCGATCTTACCCTCGATTTGACAATCGAACTCACTATCGATCTCACAATCGATCCCACTATCGACATCCAACAGATCTCACCACAGATCTCCCAATCGATCTCACCATCGATCTGACAGTCGAACTCACTATCGAACCCATATTCGGATTCACTATCGATCTCTCCCCAAGTCTCACGATCGGTCACACTATCGATCTCACAATCGATCTCACCGTCGATCACACTATCGATCTAACAACAGATCTCACGATCGATCTCTCAACAGATCTCAAAATCGATCCCATTATCGATCTCGCTATCGATCTCACCGCCGCGCCACCGACGGGACACCCCGCGCCACCGACCGGACACCGCCGCGCCACCGACGAGACACCGACGGGACACCGCCGCGCCGCCGACGGGACACCCCTGGCCACCGCGCGCCAGGGGGGGGCGGACAACCAGCTCCACAGCCCCTAGCCATGGCGGCATCACTCCTCACGCGCGCCCACGCAGCTTCGCCTCGCCCGCACGCACGACACGAACACGAAACCGAAACCGATTTCCCTGTAGGGGGCTCTCCGTTCCACTGCGATCGCGGCATCGCCAGAAAGCGCCCGCCCGCCGATAAGATTTCAGAACGTGCGCGTCGCCCCATTGGTGGGCTGACGCGCACATAGTAGTGGCATGTCTGGATGATGCCTGGCAGCGACAGCGCTCAGACCCGCGCACACGGGCAAAGACAGCGCACCGCACATACGCGCGCGAGCGCATGGCGCATGGCGCGTGCACGTCACGCGGGCACGCAGATTGCACACGCGCGCGCAGACTCGCACGCTGGCGCGCTGGGGGCACGCACGCAAAATCGCGCACGCGGGCGAGCAGATGCGCGCGAGCGCCCGGCGGGGTCGAAACCAGCTGGCTGATCCAGGTCCTCGCAACCATCTGGGTGGGCTGGAGGCCCAACATCTGGGCATGTGGGCTGCTATCTGGGTGGTGCACCGCTGCTGCTGGAACTCCTCCTCGCGAAATGCCTGTTGCTGTCATCCCCCCGCTCCTCGCTATCCTCATCCTCCTCCTCCTCCTCCTCCTCCTCCTCCTCCTCCTCCACCTCCTTGCATCCGTTCCTCCGCTTCCTCCTCCTCCTCCTTCTCCTCCTACTCCTCCTCCAACCACAGCTCCTCCTACTCCTCCTCATCATCTTCCTCCTCCTCCTCCTCCTCC